TCCCTTGGTGCAGCAGCAGCAGCCTGCCCCCCAAACACTGCCTGCTTCAGTTGGAACCAATCATGTTGCCATTAATCATTCCCCGATTTTGAGTGATGGAGGAGCCCCACCAAGTATAACAAGATCTCTGGGACTCAGCAGTTCATATTCAACACCTTCAATTTCAAACACTATAAGCACTACAAGTCCTCACACTAGTGTGGCTCCTCATGGCAGTCTTGAAAGTCCTTATCCTCCTAATGTCAGTGCTTCAATTCCTCCTCCTAGTACCTGCATGGCACTTGGAGTGCCACCTCCAGCAGCTGGGATAGGAATGCCTCCCACTGTAACTGCTAATGCCAGTACTGTCTCTCTTGTGCTCACACCTGGGGTGAATACAACCACCACCTCAGGAGTTGGTCTTCTTGTTCCTCAGGATCCATCAGTTGCCTCTGGTCAGTTGCATGTCAACCAGTCGGTAGTTGTGGCTGGAGTTCTACCAACCTCTCAGCATCATCAGCCACAGCAACAGCAACATCAGCAAGTTCCTCAGACTGGTGCCCACTCTACTTTCCTAGGTCCTGCTCCCAGTCACCAGATTGGCCCTTCAGGATATCCTACTTCTCAGACACCAGCTGAACAGCCAGTAAGCTCTGCTTACATACCTACAGAGTCTGCTGGTCAAGGTTATAGTCATGCAGGCACAACCATAACCAGCAATACTAGTCATTATGGGCAGGTACATCCACAGCAGCAAAGGCCTGTGGGTGTAGGATTTCCTCCTGTAGGCATCAGTAGTGGTGGGGAAGGTGCACCTCCTCCTAGAATAGAATATCAGGGACCAGGAGGCCCTGGGGTTATGCCTGCTCATCTACATGTCAATCATCTTCAGACACATCACCAGGTAGGTAGCAAATTTTAAACTATTTTTCTGAAAAGGAAATACTTGATATTTGTTTTCTGTACTGATGACAGGAAAATGGATGTGTCATTATTTTCCAATATTTTCAGGCCCAGAAACCTGATCAACAGCAGCATCAGCAGCAGCACTTACCTCCTCCAGCAACCTACTATAACCAACCTAACCACCCAGAGTCGAGACCTGTATCACTGGAGCAACAGTGGCAACAGTTCCAGCAACAGGTGAAGGTTGAAGGAGGACAGCAGCAGTATGACCCCTACTCGGCTACTGAAGAAGGGGATCATCAGGACAGTACTAGGCAACAGCAGCAGCAGGTTAGAGGTAGACTCTTTCTTTAAGAAGAGGAACAGAGAAAAAGAAAGAAAAAGAAAAAAAAAGTATGTGTGTTAAGCCACTGATGCAATTGGTTATCTTACAGGCATCACATTCAAATCTATCAAGTGTACAACAACAACCTACTTCACAAGCTCAACCACAGCAATCTTCACAGCTGCCTCTACAGCAACCACAACAACATTTTAATAATTTTAGTGATCAGCAACAGCAGCAACAGTCAGGGAATAGGGAGAATGATGGTAGAGGTCCAAGCAAAGAAGAAGGGAAATCATCTGGAAGAGAAAGTCCTCAGAATTCTTATGCATATTATTATGGAGGTCAGCAAGGCCATGGTGGTCAGACTCAGCGTGCTGGTCCTCCATCTCCTGAAAGACAAGAACACCCAGGACAGCAGCCTCCTTCTGATCAAAGATATCAGGGTAATGGACAGCCAGATGCTGCACAGACTTCTCCAAGTCAGCAGCAACGGGGATCTCCTCTAGGACATAACACACAGGGACCAGCTCAGCCAGGGCAGCCTCAGCAGCCATACCACCAAGGACAGTATCAAGGAGGGCAGTTTGCAGTGGCTGTTCAGCAAACAGATCAGAAGCACCAGGAAGGGGGAAGCCAAGAAGATCAGTATCAAGCAAATAAACCAGAAATTCCTTCTTCCTCATACCAGCAAGTGACCCATCAACCAGGGCAATTTCCTCAAGGCCCACCAAAGGAAGGCTTAGCTATAATTGGTGGATCCACGGAATCACATTTTCCCCAGGGGACGCCACATCATGGGCCTCCCCAGCAAGGATCTGCATCACAGGGGCCTCCCCAGCAAATACCACCTCAGCAGGGGGCCCCAGCAGAAACACAGTATCAACCAGGACCTCCACCATTACAGCAGCAACAGCAGAGTCAGCAATATCAGCCAGGACAGTATACTCCAGCTGGTCAGTACCCTTGGGCACAATATCCACAGCCCACCAGTGGTCCTGGGCCATATCCAGGAGGTCCTGGTACCTTTGGGAGCAGTCCTGGACCTGGGCCATACCCAAGTGGGCCAGGACCTTATAATGGACCTGGCGGGCCAAGCACAGGTGTTCCCTACACTGCAGCGGGACCAGCTGGCTCCAGCCCATATCCAGGAACAAGCAATGGGCCAGCAGGACCAAGTCCATATCCTGTAGGACCTAGTGCAGCTGGAGGACCCACACCCTATGCTGTTGGACCTGGACCTAGTGAGGATAGGCAACCCATGTTGCAAGACCCAAAAGCAGACCCAGGGTGAGTAATCAACAGTTGTGTACATATAAGATTATTTCAATACCTTTAAAGTATTAACAAGTGTGAAAATTTCATAATCATAATTTTCTGTTATATTAAGAATAACAGTAATGTTAAAGAACTTAAGTTACCTGATAATAAGTCAGATTGACTGAAGTATCATCAGTGAACTGTTGTACAGTAGCTTAGTAGGGGTTGTATGAATACAACTAATGGCTCAAGCATTTATTGAATAAGAACATTTTCCATATGATTTTAAGAGAATGCATGTGACAGTTTGGTATTCATTTATTTGCATGTCTCGTGTCATGTTGGTTTGACAATGACTTAAGTTAAAGTAGTTATTAGGCCTCATTTATTTTAGATTAGATATGCAAACAGGGCATATAGATTTATGTGAGCAGAATTTATCTTCAGGAAATTAATTATTTTCTCTTAATTCAAATAATTATAGCAGTACATAGTTTCACACTGAAGGTATAGGTAAGATTAAGAAAAAAAGAAAAAGAAAAAGAAAAAAAGAAAAAAAACAAGTGTGATCATAGTGAAAAATAGAGTATGTTTGACCTGAGGATGTGATGACTTTGTTATGTATGTATATATGAATAAATATATATATATATATATATATATATATATATATATATATATATATATATATATATATATATATATATATATATATATATATATATATGATATGTATAAATATATTTATGTATGTATAATAGGTATGTATATACATATGTGTATGTATATATATATGTAAGTGTGTATATATGTATATGAATATATACATTTATGTATATGAATATATACATATATGTATATATGAATATATACATATATGTATATATGAATATATACATATATGTATATATGAATATATACATATATGTATATATGAATATATACATATATGTATATATGAATATATAATATATATATATATATATATATATATATATATATATATATATATATATATATATAATATTATATATATATATAATATTATATATATATAATATTATATATATATTACATATATTATATATATTACATATTTTATATATATTACATATATTATATATATTACATATTTTATATATATTACATATATTACATATATATATTATATATATTATATATTATATATTGTATATATTGTATATATTGTATATAGTGTATATAGTGTATATATATTGTATATAGTGTATATATTGTATATAGTGTATATATTGTATATATTGTATATATTGTATATATTGTATATAGTGTATATAGTGTATATAGTGTATATAGTGTATATATTGTATATATTGTATATATTGTATATATTGTATATATTATATATTATATATATTGTATATATTATATATTATATATATTGTATATATTATATATATTGTATATATTATATATATTTATATATATTATATATTATTATATATTATTATATATTATTATATATTATTATATATAATTATTATATTATTATATATTATTATATATATTATATATATATTGTATATATTATATACATTATATATATGTTATAATATTGTATATATGTATATATGTATATAGTGTAGATATTATAGAGAGGGGATATAGGGGATATAGGTAGTAATTGGAGAGAGGGGAGAGTGGAGAGAGATGAGAGAGAGTAGATTATGAGATAGAGTAGACTAGAGGAGAGAGAGGATAGAGTGTAGGACATAGAGTAGAGCATAGATGAGGGTATAGATGACGATGAGATGTATAGAGATTATCGATTATTATATATTAGCTTAGTAGTATATATAGGAGGAGAGAGTAGGATAGATATTAGATAGATATTATATATATTAGATAGTAGGAGATATAGATAGATTATATGATAGGATAGAGAGATAGAATAGAGAAGATAGTGATAGATATATAGAAGAATAGAGAATATATATGATATAGATTATATAGGAAGATAAATATGATAGACAGATAGATATATTATAGACATATAGGAGATGTAGATACCATAGAGATAGAGATATAGTATAGATAGATAGAGACAGGAGATAGAGATAGATATAGATCTAGTATAGGATAGATAGAGAGAGAGATGAGGATGTATATAGCGATAGGAGATCCATATAGATAGATGAGAGACAAAGTTGATATATTACAATTATATAAGAGATAAGATGGTAAGCGAGAGAGGAGAGACAGAATATATAGAGATAGATGTATATAGACAGATGATGAGACATCATATATATGAATATATATATATAGTCTATATATATAGATATGATAGAGATATATATATATATAGATAGGGATAGTGATATATTATAGACATAGATATATATATATAGATATATATATATACTATATAATATATATGTCATATATATTATATTATATAATCTATATTAGTATATATAGATATTATATACATATTATATATATAGGTATATATATATATTATATACATATATTATATATATATATATAT